GGCACGCACGAGAAGCTAACATTCCCTTTTCCCGTTTTTTTTTCCACGGGATATAATTTTCTATTATCACATAAATGCGTCTGCTCGCTTCAAGTTTCCCAGCTGATTTGCTGAATCGCATTACCCTTCTTTTCACTCGCGGCCTGTTCACGATGAATTATTTATCGTGATCGTTGCTAGATGAAAAACTTGTTACGCGTTGATTCTCAATTTGACAATGAACAGTCGGGTTTGCTTTTCTCATTTCTTTTCTTTCATCTTTTTTCTTCGTTGTATATAATTTGTTATCTAATAATTCGTATCGGTGAATTAATATCTTATGACGGATATTACAAGAAAAAATTTGATAAAAATTACGTATTTATTTCGAAAAACGGTATTTCTTCATTTGCTCTTATTATAAATTGTTTTTTTTTTTCTTCATACTTTACTTTCTTCAAACTTTCCTCGACATTTTGCACATATTTCTCATATTTAGAACTGTAATATGTGAAAGTTTACAGATCAGACACTCGTTAGAACAATCATGACAATGTCAAGTTTCTTCTAAGGTACCGTTAAAGTTGAAAGTGTTGTTGAGCGCTCTTAACTTATCTTTAGCTTTTATTTTAGTTTCGTCAATTTTTTCTCAAACATGCAAAATTACTAATAATTTTAATCACCATAGAAAAAAATATATAAATATAAAAGGTTGAGAAAGATTGAGAAATATGTCGTGAAACGCAAACATGTTGGCGTATTATTATGCAAAGGTGTTAATGTCAGACGATAATTTGCATATATGACTTTTTAAGCGAAATTATATAATCATCAATAGATTATTTAGCGATGTATTTTGTCATTTCTTATAAATAATTCTGTTAATTATTAAATAGCAGATAATAGAGTAATATTTCATATAAATTTAATTGATATAGAAATGTGGAAAAGTTTAATTCAATAATGAGATTATTGATATGAGTTTCGGCCGGATATTTTCCAACAGCCATCGTATATCATATTTGTCGATCATAAAATTTATTCTGAAGGCAAATTTCTTTCTTCTACGTAAGAGGAAGTAACCTAATAGCCAAGCAGAACGATCTCGATCAAAGTTTTCATTTTTACAACGTTCATTTTTGTCCTGTTCTAACCATCTATCGTGGCCATTCTGTATAAGAAATTATTCTAAATTTATTTGAAATAAAGTATAAAATAAAGTATGTAGGATATATCACACACATAAATTAAATAAATTTCAAATGAATTTTTTTGAACCGTAACTTGGAGAAGAATAAATATAAAATTTTAATCGTGCAACGAATAAAGTTGCATAAAAAAAAAATACATATTTAAACTTTAATTCGTATGTAAATATTTATTCAAACAACGGTTAAAACGATAAAAAAACATCGATTTCGACATTTCGACATAACGTACAAAAAGAGAAAACGATAAAAATAAAATTCATTCTTCTTCTATCATTTTTCTTCACTCCAACATTAGAAATTGATCTAGAAGCCTAGTGGTCGCTTCAAAAAATTCATATAAACCTTTCTATATGAATATATATATATATATATACGTTTCGCATAAGCGCGTGTATCGCCTACTTTAGAAAGTGTACGTCTAAAATTTTTCCCCCTTTTTTTCATTCATCACTTTCGTGTTGCCACTCTTTGTATCGACTTCAACTTGTATTCAACCATACATGGTGCCCGCTGTAGTCTCCTTTGTAAAAATAATGATTTTTTTATTTCGCTCGATTCGTGGCAAATATTTTCCTCGGCAAGAGAGAAAGTCGAGGGAACCACGGCCACTGCGACGACTACCACGAGGACGATGGCAATGAATCTTCTTTTATTTCCATTTCCGGAATTGTGGGTCAAGTTCTTGCCCGAAAAGCAGATACAGCTGCTGCGTGTAGGCTTCGTGCCTCTCACGAAGGCGAAAGTTACTTCCACGCGTTCTCAACGACTGTTTCCGTGATGTCCGAATATACTTTCGATATTGCAACATCGAAATCTTCTGTAGAGTACGGTTTTACTCGAGGCATTTATCATTCCCAGTTCATCATTTAGTTTCAGAGTTTTGTTGCATGATAAGTTTAATTATTAACTAATAGTTAATTAATAGTTAATTAACCGACGAATGACAAATTACACGTTATAGATGCTATGATATTAAAGTCTTCTTTGTAGAATCTTTTTTATCTGAAATTTCTTTATTTTAGTTTCACAATCTTTGCGTGTGATAAATTGTTAAGTAATTAAGAAATTGTGGATTTGCAATTTTCTTTTGATATTAATTTCATCTGTATGGATGAAACGAATATCGAATAAACAAATTTAAGATCTAACAAAGATTTATTTAGATTTAACACGAATCTTGAGGGAGAATTAAAATTTTCGAATTACAGAGATTTTTGTCTTTTATCTTTTTCAAAGAAGATAATCATTCATATCTACAGTTAAATATGTAAACGTGAAAGTGGTAATTAAAGATATGTATAAATAAAAAAGGAAATGTGTAACAAATCAAGTTGAGTTATGAGACGTATGACAATCAGACAGATACTTGATTGACAAATGACAATTGATTGATGAAAGATGATTAGCTCGAGGTGAAAGCATGGTGAATATTCCAATTAGAAGAAGTAATTATCGAATTTTGATTTATAAAAATTAAAGTTTTCTAAATTTGGATTACGAAGAACATGAAAAATACATTTCGACTCGAGAAAATTTTCTCTATTTTCTCTAAATTTCGATTTTGGAATTATAATTTCAAGATATTATCGAGATTTAATTATATTTACAGTTTTATTTATAATTCAGGTCATTTTAATAAAGAGAATGATTAATTCTAAACTTTAATAAAAACAACTATTGGCACATATATTCTGCATTAATTGAAAAATAAGAAAAAAGTTATAATGACTGCTATTTAAATGGTTAATAATTTTTTATATATTCCAAAGAAATACAGTTTTATAAAAAAACAAATTAGGAAAATAATTTTCCAATAAAAAGTTTTATTTTTCAGGAAATTTTTTTTTTTTGCTCTCATCAACATAAGCATAGTAAATTTTGCAATTATGATATTAATGTTATAGCTGGGCAGTTTCTACGGTAATGACAAGACAAAATCTAATTCCGAGCGAAGATGGTTCACGCATGATCCATGCTTTGATACCGATGTGGGACATGTGCAATCATGAAAATGGGAGAGTGAGTTTCTTCATGTATTGAAACATTTATAATAAAATGAAACGAATCTTATTAATATTTCTCGTACAGAAAATTATATAAATATGCGTTATGGATGTTTTTTCAGATTACTACTGATTTTAATGCGACATCAAACTATTGTGAATGTTACGCTTTAAGAGATTTCAAAAAAGGGGAGCAAATATTTATTAGTTATGGGCCCAGAACGAATTCCGATTTTTTTGTGCATTCAGGATTTGTTTACATGGAAAACAAACAAGTATATTTTTTAAAATTATTCTTTTTAAATTATTTCATTATTTTTGCATTAATTATTGGTTAATAAATAACTAACATTTAGTTTTTCTTTTTATAGGATGGTTTTAAATTACGACTCGGCATTAGCAAAGCCGATTCTCTTCAGAAAGAACGTATAGAATTATTAAATAAATTGGATTTGCCGACAGTTGGCGAATTTTTATTAAAATTAGGAACAGAACCGATTTCTGACTTGCTATTGGCGTTTCTTAGAGTATTTAGTATGCGTAAAGCGGAATTGGCTCATTGGATCCGATCGGATCGTGTTAATGATTTAAAGCACATGGACTGTGCATTAGAAACTGTCGTTGAAGAGAATGTCAGAAAATTTCTGCTCACTAGGTTGCAGTTGTTAATTGCTAATTATCCGACGACTCTGAAGGTGAAAGTGAAATAAAACATTAGTTTGAAAAGGCAACGTCGTATCGACATGAAAATAACAATTCTTTTGTTTTAATATATTTCTTTCTCTTTTTCGTTTTATAGGAAGATCTACAATTACTTGAAACGACTTTACCACAAATTAAGAAATTAACCATTCAATTAAGAGTAACAGAGAAGAGAATTCTTCAGGGTGCGCTTGAATATGTGGAACAATGGATCAAAGCTTAAGAATATGACAATTGAATTTTAATCTATATAAAATCATGGAATCAAATTTTTATTCTTATTTTTAAAAAAATTTTACAATGAGATATAATTTTTATGGATTTGTGGTTTCAAATGATAGGAAACTGATACAAATCATTTGAAGAATGATCAATATATATATATATATATATATAATAAAATAATGTGTAGAAATAATGAAGGACAGATAGAAAAGGGAGCAATGGTGTAAAATAACATTAAAATAGTATAAAACAATTGAACAAACTATATATATATATATCTATGTGTATTAACAAGTATACAATGCAAAATAATTGCGTGTTCCATGATATTGTGACTCTTGTTTTCGAGAGATGAGAACTTCGCGAGCACAAATAATTTTTAAAACTAACGTTTTCTCATCAAATTATAAATCATGTGCTTATTAAGCTCTAATCTCTGATTACAAGATTTTACAAATATAATACTTTTATTTCAGCTTTGAATAAAAAAAAAAAATAGAAAAATAACATGTACAAACAAAATGTTACTATTCATGAATATTTATTTTTCAAATGAGATAGTTAAGAGATCTAATTCTTTATGTAAGTGTGAAATAATGAAGGACAGATAGAAAAGGGAAGGCAATGGTGTAAAATAACATTAAAATAGTATAAAACAATTGAACAAACTATATATATATATATCTATGTGTATTAACAAGTATACAATGCAAAATAATTGCGTGTTCCATGATATTGTGACTCTTGTTTTCGAGAGATGAGAACTTCGCGAGCACAAATAATTTTTAAAACTAACGTTTTCTCATCAAATTATAAATCATGTGCTTATTAAGCTCTAATCTCTGATTACAAGATTTTACAAATATAATACTTTTATTTCAGCTTTGAATAAAAAAAAAAAAATAGAAAAATAACATGTACAAACAAAATGTTACTATTCATGAATATTTATTTTTCAAATGAGATAGTTAAGAGATCTAATTCTTTATGTAAGCTATTGTGCGATATTACACAGGCCTACAAAAATCAGACTTATAAACGATTAATATGCCGTAAAATTTATCGATAATTGTATCGAATTTTAACAATATGCATAAAAATAAGACAAACAGCGAGTTCCAGATACTTCTCAGCCATAAAATGTTGCATTGTATCATGTTTACCCCCGAAATTTTATGCGATTATATTTAAAAAGAATTAAAAGCAGATGCTTATGTGAATGGTAACTATATATGAGAAAAATATACACGTATATGAGAAAAATATATCAATGTATTTAAATAAAATTATATAAATCAATTCAATCATGCGTATAACAAAAGATAATAAAATAGAATAATCATTAATTAATTAGAAATGGCTACAGCAGGACTGATAGCTCTGTGTATTGCTTTTTTCAATATATTGGGGCAGACATGATACAGCCAAATATAAATGTCACGATAACTTAATATTACATTTTCCTCTAATATAAAACACAGAAAATTTATGACGTGATTATATTATTTTAATAAACTGCTAAAAAATTACCTTTATTATCTGATCAAAAAAGTTCTATTATTTAGGAATTACATACGAAGTTCTTAATTATAATATTTGTTAAAATAATTTTATTTATTTTACGACGATATTTGTATTTTGAACAGGTGAAAGAGATGATTTTGTATTTTACATGATTGCTAAAAAAATATACAGATATATATTTGTTCTTAAAGAGAGAGGTAAAACTGGAATACAGTTTATTTTAGAACTTTTTGATCAGATATGATCGAATGTACTTATCTATCTAATTTATAAGTTATTTATTGCCAGTCATATTTAATTGTGTTTAATATATGCTACAGAGTGATTTATAGCAACGGCACGAGTTTCATTATTACGAGTAATTTTTAGCGACAGCTTTTATGGTTTATTTTTATTCCCGTAAAATTACAATGTTACCTTATATTCATAGCGCGTTTTGCAAATTAATTTTATTGTTTGCTAAGGTTACATTATTGTTTCCATTAGTATAATTTGCAGATTTATTTTTTAATTCACTGAGTATTATATCACTAATGGATTCTTCCTTTTGTTCTCCATTACAACCATCCTTTAATACTTCCTTTTTAACATTTTCAACATTATGATCTTCCTGAAGATGTAAAACTAAAGAAGGTAAGGCATAAAATAATTTGTCACAAAGATTGCACTGGAATGTCTTGCCATCTGCTGCTTGTAAGCAATATTCATAATCTTTCATAGAACTATATGTTTGTCTATGTAATGCTAAATGTTTTTCATGGTCCATAGCAAGAATAAATTCGTAAGAACAAATTGGACACTTTAAATTATGCTTTGTCCATATAGTATGTGCTTTTAATCGATGTAAACTATCATAAATTTTACCACAAACAGGACACTTCATGCATTTATGATTATTTAGTGTTTCTATGCTTTCATATAATCCACTACATTCCTTACACTGATAATTTCTTTCCCTTCTACATGCATGTTTAAACCAATGTTTTTCTAATTGTGGTAATAAATCAAATACTAGTTTGCAGAGAGTACACACGAATCTTCCGCGACGATCTCTTTTCATACTAAAGTTTGATGTTCTTATATCCCAGTGTTTTTCAAAATTATTCTTACGCATTAAATTTTCATTACAAAATTCACATTGGTCTTGATGTTTAGATAAATGAGTGAATAACATACCAGGCTCAGTATTTGTATAATTACAAAAGGAACATATAAAAGTATCATCTTCCTTATACATATGAGAATATAAATGTTTTTGGAATGAATTTGGAGTAAAAAACAGTGCACCACATGCTGGACATTTCAGATAAGGTTTACCTCTTTCTGTATAATATAATGGCAAAGGTCTTAAGGTTTGTAGCCAGTCAGTATGATCTTTGGAATCTAAAATATTTTGATCCATAGAAGACTCTTCATAATCTATTTCTTCCATGGTTGGCACACGTTCATCTATATCAGTAGAAATGATTGAATGTTCTTCCTCTTTTATTTCAACTATTGGTTCATGTTTGGGTATAAGTTTTCTTAGTAATAGCATTTTATTACGTCGTTTTGAACTATGTCGAACTTTAGATTTCTTGTTATTCAAAGAGCATTCGTTATTTAATTTTTTTGTCATTAATGCATTGTCTGATTCTAATTGTGTTATTATTATAAACTCTTTATTATTAGGTACAGAAGTAACATATGATAAAGGTGAGTCAGCTCTTAAATCATCCCAATCACTAATAGTACTTTCACTAGTAACTTCAGAATCATTTTCAATTGACAAGAGTTCAGAGGATACATCATCTTCCTGAGATTCAATATCATCATCATCTGCAGAGAGAAGTGCTGTTCTTAATATTTCTCCATTTACTAAATAACTATCTCTTTCATAACTTTCACCATCATTTCTTGTTTCATTAGTTTCTTCATCTTCCATTGCATTTTTTGAAAAATCTTTACATTCTGGATCTTCTAATGTTAACATTTTGTATTTATAAAAATTGTATGATTTGTACTGATAATTACTGTAACACAAAAGATAGAATATTACTCTTGATTACAAATTGTTTACATGAAACGTTCTCAAAGAAGGAACATAACCTCACTTTTTCTTATTCACCGTATCTTTCGCGTTCATAACATCCAATCATAATGAAATAATAATTAAAATAAATTCTTGAATATATCTTGGTTATGATTAGATAAACAAAATGTACTTACATGTGGACATTTAATGTAGCCCCTCCTTACGACGCTCTTTGCGGTGCAAACATCGATTTGTATCTGCGTGGAATTCTTTAAAGACGTATTAGAAGACGGACAAAAAAAATATTTACAAGGGAAATCCTTCATTCAATTTTTGAAATTCCACGAAATTCGTAATTCTCTAAGTTTTCATTATTCACATTCGAATAACTTTGATCAGCTGTTTTCTGATTACACAAAATTGACAGGACGTCTCGGTGCGCGTCCAACCGATGACCTGCCGATGGTGACACGAAAAGTATTTCTCAACTTCTCCATTATAGACTTTTATATATTTCATGCAATTTATCTAAGATAAAATAAAATCATTTAAAATACTTAACTATATACATTAAAAATTATTAAAATTTACATAATTCATTTTCTATCTATAATAAAATATATTGCGTTGAATCAAAATGCGATATATATTTATCAATTGTCTTTCATACATAAAATGTGAAGTTGAGAAACACTGTCATAGAAATAACGCATGCATATAACTGTACAGATAGATATATATAGAGATATAAGAAGATTCTGAGATTTATTAAAATTGATACAAAAAATGAAAATATTTTTAATATGTATGTATTTATATTTGATTTACATTTATAAAAAACTAACAAATAAAATTAATAAACAAAATTATTATTTTTAATATCTTTATTTTAATGTTGAAAGTATTATATATATATATATATCTTACATACGAAAAACAGAATCTTAAAAAAAAATATAAATAACAGTAAATTCTAAATATTCCTTTTTAATTATAATAAAAATATTTAACTTTTTTAATGATTATAATTATTTTAATTATTTAATAATATCTGCAATATTACCAAATTAAATATTGAGGTGTAATGTATTGCGAAGAAATGTTTCTTAGAAATATTTACATAAAAATTTCAATCTAACAAATCAAAGATAATCTATTTAATATTTATCTTCTAAATTCTCAAATTAGATTTTTTCAAGTGAATTGTACAGTATTTCAGTTTTCTACAATCGAATCTCAATTTATTGCAATTCAAACGAATGCTCAAACGATATTATCGAAGATTTCGAGATATAGTCTTTCAATTCTTACTTCGTTTCTTATGTTCGTGTCCATGACCGTAGTCGTGAGAGTACGGAAGAGGTTGATAGCCGTAACCGTGGCCGTGACCGTATTCGTGACTAAAACCGTGGTGGCCAAAACCATGTCCGAAACCATGTCCGAAACCATGTCCGAAACCGGCGCCAAAACTATGACCGAAGTGTACGGGTAGTGAGTGACCATGCAACGCGGGATAAATGTGTCCACCGCCATAACCATATCGAGCGGCATATGCTCCTGCACCAAGGAACGGAATTGGCGGTGGTTGGACCGGAATCGGAACTGGAACCGGAACTGGTATTGGATACACTTGTTTTACCGGAACTGGATACGGTTGTTGTACTGGAACTGCAACAGGGTGTTTCACTGGTATCGGGATAGGACGTTCCACTGGAACTGGAACTGCCTAAAGAACAATTAAATTTGATTAATTAGCAGTTTCTGAGAAAGTATTTCCGCAATTTGAATGAAAGTGGTTAGAATGTGAGATATTTAAGAAGAATTGTAAAAGTTAACCTTAATAATTATGTATATAATTATACTTTTTCTTAAGGTAACACCATACCTTTAACTCTTAAACGATCTTTCTTCCAAAATAATTATTAATTTTAAACAACCTAATATTATTCATCCTTATTTTATCAATTTCATTTGAACAATAAATTGAAATATTTGTTATAAGAGAAAATTTTAGAATATTTTTTACCTCGGGTATCGGAATAGGAACTGGTACTGGTTTATGAATGATCTTTTCGACCGGAACTGGGATCACCTTCTCAACAGGCACATGATATGGTTTTTCGATGTAAACTGGCTCTGGAACAGGAACTGGTTTCTCCAAAACTACATGTTTTGTTATATATACTGGAACCTTTAACAATTCGGTTCTTCCGACTGATATGGGAAAAGCTTTTCCATATGAAAATCCACCATGTAATCTATAAAATATTATAAGTATCATTATTTTCAAAAGTTTAACATTAGAACTATTTATTTATAATATAATAAGTATACTATTTAGAATTAAAATATGATAAAAATATTAATGAATTTTAAAATAATAAATTTCAAAATTTATTTTTACCCTCCATGAGCTAAATCAAAAGGAGGATATTTTAATCCTTTCCAAATTGGACCACCTAGCCACGGTTGCCCATGTCCGTATCCATAAGGATTTGGTATTCCAATCCATCCATTAGATTCTGGTATTCCTCGTTTACTTTGTTTTGTTTCGTTTGTTTCTGCAGTTAAGGCGTAACCACAGAAAAATATTAAGAATAACTGAAATTTAATATTTATAAAATTATGATAATAAAATTAATGTATATGATATGAATATATACATTATATAAAGATATGAATTTTTTTTAAAAATGAAGTAAGTAAAGAAATAATGTATCTATCTGATAAATTATTTTAATTTTTCTACAATAAATCTATCTTTAGTTAGATTGTTTGAATTGTTGAATAAGGAAAATCTGCTAACTCAGTATTATTATCAATTTATCACGTTTATTTAACACGTTTATTTATTTCTATTTTTTTAAATTTAACAATATTGCAGATTTATTTGGCTTAAATTTAAAAATGATCATTAAAGAATTATCATTACTGGGATGTGTTCGAGTTTATTAATCACTTTCAAATATTCCATTTTAAGCAAAATGGTAAATTAATAATGAATGTCAAACAAATTATTATGACGTATCTTGAATACAAAGTTCACTTAATTCGTTATATAAATACAATATATATAATAGTGAAAGAAGAAAAGAAAAAGAAGACGTACAATACATACTAGAAAAACTTTTCCAGAGAAAGAATTAATCCGAAAGAAGATTGAGAGAAAAGATTTTTCATCATTAATGATACTTGTTAATTATCCTTACCGAGATCATATACATTGTAGTCTCGTCGAGAAGAAACTGTTCAATGAATCGAGAAAACGGTAGCTTTATATATTTCTCGTCTATCGAGACAAACAGATCGATTGATCCAGATGGTCCAAGTCAGGTTCCCGTGTTTGATGTGATCAGGAACTCGACCTTGTTAATTGACGGGTTTTGTATTTCCGCTGAAGAAAGTAGTCAAGAATTGTAATGAATCTCGTTTATGCCATATTTGATATCTTTAAATATAACCTTCTTGAATTTTTAGTTTGAATTCATATAATGTTATGACAAATTTTATTAACATCGTTTAAAATGATTAAACTTTGAATTTAGAAGGTAATAATATACCAATGTTTGAAAATGTGAGTAATATTTTATTGAGTAGGATTTTTTAATTTTGTCTTCTTGTGTCTTCTGTTTTTTTCTTTATTTGTCATTCTTTGTTTATCTTTCTTTATGCTTTGTCTTTTTTCTTTTTTATTAATTTTTTATTTAGAAATTGAAAAAATAATTATAATAATGACTTTCTTCATTAATCATAATAATAACATAACATAAAAGAATATTTTTTATGAACGTAATAATAGTATCATATATAGTGTAATAATTGCATAGTAGTAGATAATATTCTTATCATTATAATCATTAATTAATCGATTAAATATGGGTTTATCGCTTCATAATATATCATAGTCACTCATGTTTACCTATTTTCTTTAATTATTCTATCTATTTTCTTTATTGTTATGAACATATAGAGCGAAATTATAAGTAGTGTAAAAGCAATAATAATTACCAATTTGAAGCAATAAGTGGCAAAATGAAATTGCCATAATGAAATATGGATATATATGCATATATATGTATAAACTATATCTAAGAAAAATAAATCTTGAAAAAATAAATTGAATGCTATTTTAAAAATCATGTAAAATCATATATAATAGTTTTTTTTAAATTAAGTATCAATTTTACAACAATGAAAATCATAAAGTAAAGAATAAAGAGATTTATATTAGTATTTCAAATTGATTTAGCAATGTGATTAATGTAAATAACTATAGAAAGTGAAAAGAATACTTCAACTTCAATTTCAATTCAAATTTCAATTCAAGTCGCCCTAAGATATCTTCCATGATATTATTTCGACATTCTTGATATTCTCGAGAATATATAGAAGGATTCCATGAATAGAATAAATCAGGATTCATATCACGATTCAGACTTGTGGTACGCATTCTTCTGTTTCTATAACGCAGAGGTATTGACTTTACTCGACCAACAAGATCAAGAAAATGAACCGGACCGTTTCTTGCACCAGAGCTGCTAGTTTGTTTCCGTATTGGCCGCATCCGCGAACTTTCTTAACTTTCATTTTCTAATACGTACGAGCTACTTCTAATACCGGCCATCCATTATTCATCGTTATAAATGCTAGTGAACGCATAACATGGTTGTACGTGTATATCAATCCAATGTCTATAATGACGAAATAGTTGACCATCGAGTTTGATGGCTTTAATTAAGTTTTAATTCATTTTCATTCAATTCTTTCAAAGATATTAATTTCAATGATTTTATTTCATTTTTCAGACAAGTTTCAAACGTAATCAATATAAAAGAAAAAAGATAGTAATTTTATATATAGTCAATGATGTTCTTTTATGTCTCTTCCAATAATGATCATCAATCAAATGATATCGAAACGATTTAAACACATCACAGATAAATAAAATCCAATCAAAGGAATAATCTATTTGCAAAAAGGATTCTTATTCAAGGAACAAATAATATTTTTTTCTTCGCAAAATAATCGAATGTCATATTTCACGATCAATAAGCGATTTTTTTTTCGAATTTGCATCGATTTGAGAATTGAAACAAATGATGGTGTATTCGATCGTTTAAATTAGTTTATTTTAGAATCGATAAAGATTAAATCACTAAGGATGTTAATGACAATTATTATAAATCGAGTCATTCATCATTTCGATCTAATATTATTTCCTAACGCACATTTCTTACGAAACTATTATTAGTATTCTTCTGTTAAAGTTGTAACATTTCCGTCAGGATGTAAAAAAAAAAGGTAGTCGCATAACCAGGTTGCTATAGAATCGTGTCACGATCAGGCGCATCGCTGTTCTTATTAATTTGAATCTTCACGTAGACAATTTTCACTTAGCCATAGATTGTCTATCCGAACGATCTCGAAGACGATAACTTCCCATCACGTGAAGTACTACCACGATCATTCTAATATTTGAATGGACGAATAATCCTTTTCGTTCTCTTATGCACATAGTCATGTTAGTTAGGCATACGAAAGAAAAGCGGTCACGACCAATATTTGGCCATCACCCAGGATAGGAAACAGCGAAAGTTCATTGACGACGACGACGATACTTCTTCCTAGTGTGATGTGTCACCAGTGGATGCCCTATAAATACTTATGGGGGTCATCGATAGCGAGCAGTTTTTCTTCGGCATCGTAGTTGTCAGCTTAGACTTAGGGAGTCTTCCAAGGAACAATTATGAAGATTATTTTGGTATTGTTCCGTTGGTTCTATTTTTTTAAATCTTCATCATCTTTAATGTATTTGTGTTATTTTTATTTCGTTTTATTTAATTCTTTCCCTTTTGTAATGGTTAAATTGTTTGTTTTTAATAGTGTTTTTAAAATTGTGATTAAATTAATTATAAATCAGTGATCGAAGAAATGGAGAACTATTGAGGACATATATATATAAAATTGTTTGAACGAACATTTGAATAATTTTTATTGGCTGTAAAGTTTTAATTTATAATTTATTTATTTTTCTTGATACTTATTCAATTTATTGAAAATTGATTAAATATAAAAGAAAAAGAGCATATTTCCTTTTATAAGTATAAATAACTACGCAATATAAGTGATGTTTATTTTTAAATAGAAAAAAAAAAAAGAAGAAAAATTTATATCATTTTTGTAATAACATGATTATGATACAAGTATATAATGAAATTTGATACAAGTATATTAATATCTATTTCATCTATAATAATTGATTGAATTATAATTATTTATTAATTTTTGTTTCTTTTTTATAATAATCTTATATTAAAAAATTTTGGTATGAATTAATTTTTTCATAAAAATTGCATCAAATTATTCGATTTATTTGCAGATTCTTCCATTACTCCTGGTAGTCAGTACTGCAATTACTGTCGAAAAACATGAAAAGATTAAGGATAAATTATTAAAGAAACATGATAAAAGAGGACTTGTAAATTTAGAATATGGTTTACCTGAGCCTGCATATCATCCTCCTGAACCAGCATCTATCTTTGAACCTTCTGCTCCCGATCTAGGTGGACATTTGGAATCTGTAATACCACCAGTTGCTCCTCCACCGGCTGTATTGCATCCAGCTCGTTAGTATATTTTCTAATTTATATATTTTATTTTATAACGCATAATAAAAATACTCAAAACGATCAAATTTGTTGAACACAGGATGGACTATTTTATACGATCAATATTATTTTCGTCATTAATGATCAGAATAATATATTTTTATTTCACAGATTAAAGAATTGAAAGATGAAAACAAAAAATATTATATTTCTTAGCTCGTTGGAAAAGTTGAGAATTGTAAATGAAATATTATCTTGAAAGTATCATCGATGAGAAATTTAAATACTCCTTAATTGCTTTTGAGTAAAAGTTTGAGTTTATGAAAAGAAGAATCATTACTATCGCAATTTATAGTTAAGAACATGTTCTTGAGTAATTGAATTTAGATATGGAATATAAATTAGATTTAGTGTTTTTATTTCAAAGGACTTGATGATGAAAGAAATTTTTTAAGTAGTATTTTCTTTTTTGATTCCCTTTAGCTACCCGGTATTATTTTTCTTTGATATTTATTTTTTCGAATGGAAATAAACAATAAGTGTTTTTTAATTTTTTTAATTTATTTCTACGGTTTATTTCTAGAAAACGAAAAACTTTCATTTTTAGGTTTATTATTTGTATTATTATATATTTATATTTACTTCTAGGTATCTTTGTTATAATAATATGAAAATCACGAGTGAGCCAGCTTAGCAGTAAAGGACTATAACACCATCTTTTTCTTCAATATTAATCGAAAACTTCATCCGATTCAAGATTAATGCATCCTCATTAATTGCGAAATCCTCGTCGCAAAGATGTAACTTAAAGGATGACAATTCTAAAAGCACTAATCATGAATATCATCGTGCATACATTATGCATTTAATCAGACTAAAATATTTCTATTTCAATAGCTGCAGTTCCAGTTCCTGCAGTACCGGTGCCACAGCCCGTTCCACATCCGGTTCCAGTCGCGGTGCCTCAGCCAGTTCCGCATCCGGTTCCAGTCGCGGTGCCTCAGCCAGTTCCGCATCCGGTTCCAGTCGCGGTTCCTGTGACCAAACACGTGCCAATTCCCGTACCCATCGATCGAGCGGTTCCAGTTCCAGTGGATCGTCCTGTCCCCGTACCAGTCGCGGTTCCGGTCCCGAAACCGTATCCGGTCCACGTGGAGAAGATAGTGCACGTCGACAGACCCGTGCCAGTGCCATTCGAAAAGCCAGTCCACGTGCCGGTGGATCGACCAGTGGCTGTTCCTGTCCCAGTGCCAAAACCGTATCCGGTTCCCTTCGAAAAGATAGTTCACGTGGATAGGCCTTATCCGGTCCATGTAGCGGTACCTTATCACGTTCCCAAACCTTATCCAGTACCAGTTGCTATTCATGCTCACAAGTCGCATGGATGGCTCAAATAAGATTTCATTGGAATGTTCTTGTTAGATGTTGATAGTAGAACTACTAACGGTTGATATTAACAATCTTGTGTAGAATTTGATATTTTATTTCATTAAATTCTTTTATTCGATACTTGTTTATTACTCGACTTGCTTTTGAATGTTATAATTGAAACTTGTTTATTCAAATTGTGTTTTTGAGGCAAAGTCGGATAATTAAGTTTTAAAGAAAACTTATAATATGCAAATCTATATAGTATATAGAATATTTGTGAATATTTAAAAATTGGAGTAATTTTGAAAAAAAATTACAAACCAATTATTTTGACTGCGTTAGTAGTTCTTACATAGAGAAACACTATACCAAGAATATAATAGATTCAAAAGAATTAAAAGTACTAATCTAGAGTACTACTTTTGTCATCATTTCAATCACTATTTCAATATTCAGTTGATTGTTTTTTTTTTGATTCTTTTGATACTAGTCCGCTTTAATAATACGTATTTTTACTAGTCGATTGTTAATTACATACTTAGGTATTTTTAACAAGTAAAATGATGTATTGCATAGATAGTGTAAATATTGCATGAATGGACATTGCCAAAATTTTTTTCTATTAACAAATTTTTAATGCATTTTGAAATTGTAAAAAGAAAAGTTAATAAAATTGTTCTTTAAAAAATATTTTAACTGATATTATTGATATTTATTTTACTTTAATATTTATTCATCGTAATCCTTTATTAACATCATTTTTTGCTTTATCATTACTTTAAAGTGACTATTATAATATTTAAAAATATCACGTATCATTTAATTCAATTTCCTTAACCATGTCGTATAAGTGCAACTAATAATGTAAAAGTTTTCGATTCGAGCGTGTTTTATAAAGAGATATCTATAGAATGCTCATATTTAATACATTCTTCTACACTTTTGCGCTCGATAGGCGTTACACTTGACACCAAAGAATAACGTAGTATTATAAAAAAAACAAGACTAAAACTTAAAGCCGTCACACAAGAATTGTGCTTTTGTCATTTGAATCTACGATAGAAAATAATTAAATTAAAAGAAGAAATTATGATAATCATCAAACTATTGAATATAATTTTAGAGGTTTATGTATCAAAGAAAATTTTAATTTCCGGAAAAATTGATTTATAAGTTTAAAAAATTTTATATAAAATTTATCAAAAATCGATCAGTTCACAAATGTAATTCATATTACACGTTTCTTCACTTCTTGAAAAATGATTTTGCACGAATGATTTGTCGAATCAGCCATCTCAATGTAATATTACAAATTAGAGCTTAACCAACTTTTTATTATTTTCTAAATAAATCAGAACAAAAAATATTTCGAAAAAAAGATAGTCTAAAATTTATACTAGAAAGTTTCGAAATAATTCGCACACAGATAGCGCAAAAATTCGCGATACGTGGTGACGCAGGAGTGGACGCGTGACTGGCGTCCTCATCGAGCTTCATCGAGGCACGAAACTGTCAGTTCTTTCACGCGAACACTCGAAGATTGACGATACAGGATCTAGTAAGCCTATTCGTTCTCCTCTCGATTCACCATCGACACTGTATCCACAATCTCGTTCACAATTTTAAGGTGTGCAAAAAAGCTTGCGCGACAAACTCTTCTTTGTTGAAAGTTGAAGAACAAGTGATGAAATCGATAAAAAGATTACAGCTAGAAAAAAAAAGGAAAAATTAAGAGAAAAATAACTTCTTTTAATTATAATGTATAATGCAATGGAGAAATTTTGAAAAATTAGCACGAATATTTATAATTATATGTAATATTCCAATGTAAAAGAAATCATAGCAGTTCGCGTTTTTTTTTTCTCGAGGATATTTGAGAAAATGCGTTTCAAAAAATTGGTATATGATGTAACTAGTCGATTTTTCCATCGAGGAGTCCATGTTATCCTACATTCGTCGTTTGTGAATCTGCAATCGTTTGTAACAACCGGAAGAAAGCTTCATGAAACTCTTCGTGTACCCGCCGGATGCAAGGTTTCCAAAATTTGAATCAAAGTTGACGCGTTTCGCGATCGAAAATTAAATTACCGATCTTCGATTGATCGTTTCAATGTTTATTTAACATTAGAATTATTGAAATTATCAAAATAAATAGTTTTATATTTTTTAGAATTAACGATGAGCTATATTTAGATAGATACCTGATTAAATTTATTTATTTATCTCTATTATTATATAAATTGAATTAAATTGTAATTTTTTCCTTCTTTCGTTAATTTATTTATCTCTTTTCAATGTTCAGAGAAAAAAAACACTGCAATTTTATATTTTTTTGTTATTTTATTATATCTTTTTACCGTTATATCTTTTCATTGATCTCATTATTTTTCTTTCCTCCTTTTTTTCATTAAAATTTTTTATTTCCTTTTTTATTTTTTTTAATTATATTTTCTGTTCTCTTTCTTCATTGAACAACGAAAAATTTTATCTTCGATCGTAATATATATTATATAAATTATTCATGCTTGAATAATTTTTCTCGTTTTTATCTATGATACAATGAAAAGAAAAAAAACTCAAACGTATAATTATAGTTAATATCCTGCTATATTTTTATATAATCTATATCTGCTTATATCTCTTCTTGTCGAATCTCTTTTTAATATATTATTTTAAATCTATCGATCGGGAAAGTGATTACATATGAATATAAAATGGATTAACGCCAATAATTGTGATTGTTTTAGCGTGTTACTATGAAGCCGAAAAAATTAGGAATTATCGGCGGCTCGTTACTTGCTTTTGGAATTTTGATCTGTGCAATTGCCTTTCCTCCATTTTTGAAGTCACAAGTGAAAAAAGTGAGTGAAAAATCAAAATTTCGTTTGATTATAACAATATTACACAATAATTACGAAAAATAAATTAATTTATTTTAATGGAAACACGGTTTAAATTTGAAAATTTTAATTCATAAAATTTATTTAATTAACGTGAAAATTTTCCATTCAAATTTACATATTTAAGATATATTGTATTTAAATAAGTATATTTTTTATTGTATTCATTCAAATTAAAATAACGATTTTCCATTATTTTATTATGATTACGATAAACATGACGTATCAAATTATCATGATCTAAACATTATATATACGTCGTTATTGCATTCAATTTTTCACTACTTTTTATCTGTCATTATTTTTAATCGCACTTTATACAAAATAATTCTCATTTATTAGCATTCATTATATTCAGCGTTACTTTCAACTTTATATAATTGTATCTATACCTCAGCATCAATCTTTTTTTCATTCTTCTCATTTTATATACTTCTCGTTTTTATCTAACATAAGATTTTAATCTTATTTTTTATCTAAGTTTATCTAAGTTTGCTTTAAATAAAATAATTAATTATAATTAAAAAAAAAGATATTACGTTATTAACAAAAATTATTATTTTCTAATTCTGATTATTATCTAAAAAATTTTTATGATTTATAAATTTGTTAAATTTTATTCAATTTAACGAAAATTCAATCTAATTCAAGCTGTAAACAAAAAAATTTAAAGCTTATATTTACTTTAATAAAAATGGAAATATTATGAACTTTGCTTATAATAATCATATGTGTACATATATGTATCAAAAACGATTATCTGTTCACTATTATTACATTAATTGAATGTGAGAAATAATGCTATCATTACATCTAAACATGTTTTTTTATATTACATAAATATTATATAATTAAAAAAAATTTATAAATTAATAGCAAATAGCCTTGAAAGATGGATCTGAAATGCGGGAATTATGGTCCAATTTCCCTGTTCCTTTGGACTTTAAAATTTATCTTTTCAACGTGACGAATCCCATGGAAATTACAGCGGGGGAGAAACCGATTCTCGAGGAAGTAGGACCATTTTTTTACGAGTGAGTGATTATATATTAACGACAAGACCTGTGAAATTAATAACTCAAAGTTTTCGTTTTTTTTTTTTTTTAATTTTTATCTTATCAAAATCAAAAATACGATATAATACTTTTTCCATCAATCAAAATATATCGAAAATATATATAAATTGCAAACATTTATATTTTCATTTTAAGATCTTTATCCATAACATTATGCAAAAAGAAAACTTCCAACAGTAAAAATCGATCGTTCCAGCGAATACAAACAAAAGGTGGATCTGGTCGATCGAGAAGAAGACGACAGCTTGGAGTACAACTTGAAAGCGACATGGTACTTCAATCCATCTCGAAGCGAAGGATTGACCGGTGAGGAAGAACTGGTCGTTCCTCACGTTCTTATTCTGAGCATGGCCAAACTCACCCTCGAACAACAACCAGCAGCCATGGGGATTCTCAGTGAGCCTCTCGATCATTCCTTTTACCATCTCCAATTCGCATCAAACATATTTCCTTTATTTCGATAAAAGTGAAGGTCACAGCTTTACCTTAGAATACTTGAAAAATACTTGAGAAATACTTAAGACTGTTGAACGAAGAAAGAGGGTCAAGAGAAACGATTTTACTTATACCTAAGTAACAATAAATTACCCTCGCCTTGAACCAATGGATCAATTGATTCACGTAACGCCTTGTTTAACTACTGTACGTGTCTATTTCTGTTTTCTTATACGTTTCCTCCAGGTGTTTTTCTCGTAAGAATCTTTACACGTGTATGAGATTCAAATTATTGGGTGTAGGAAGTATGCTTTTAGTTTCATAGTCTAATAACATAGATAATAGTAGAGCGAAAAGTTTTTCTGGCTTGATAAACGAGTATACATTGGTATTTTATAAATAATTTAGAATTTATCTTTAAAGGATCCAATGAATAAAATTTTTTTCTTAAATAACGTATCAACGATGCGTTGCTTTGGAGATAATAAATTGAATATATTTGTCTATATATTTATTTTCCAAAAAATTTTCACGAAAATTAATATCGACGGATAATGAAAAAGCATAAATCCTTGTCGAAAGATTTAATTTGATTTTTCCAGAAAATAAGATAATCACGATTAATCAATTAATAATTAAAATTCATGTTTCTCATGTAGATAAGGCTGTGGATAGTATTTTCAAGAAACCTAGTTCTGTTTTCGTAAGAGCGAAGGCAAGGGAAATACTTTTCGACGGTTTACCAGTTGATTGCACGGGAAAAGATTTCGCCACGAGCGCAATTTGCAGCGTTTTGAAAGAAAAGGACGACGCTTTGATAGCTGATGGACCAGGACGTTACTTGTTCTCACTTTTCGGCCCTGTACGTACATTTATAATTTTATTATCCTACACTCACAGAAATTTAATATAAAATAGAATTTCTATTCGTATATAATTTTTAATAAAATCATATTTAATTCGTAATCGAGCAAATTTCGAGAAAAATTGTTTCCTTGCTTTTTCTTATCATCGATACACAGAGAGAATATGTTCAATATGAAATCCTTGTTCAACATATATATATATATATAATTATTTTTCAGAAAAATGGCACCGTTCTTCCCGAACGTATACGAGTGTTGCGGGGTATAAAAAATTACAAGGACGTAGGGAAGGTAACGGAAGTGAATGGAAAAACGAAGTTGGATATTTGGGGGGAGGTGATTGCAACGAATTCAACGGAACAGATTCAACGATCTTCGCGCCGTTGCTCACGGAACAAGACGACATTGTCTCGTTTGCTCCTGACATTTGCAGAAGCATGGGAGCTCGTTTCGATTCGTACACACAAGTCAAAGGTAAATATTATTATATTTCAATCGTAATGGTTCTTTCAATAATATACGAGTATACTTGTCGTTTATTCATTTTTACGACGTATAACGTAGATGCAAATTTATCTTAAAATAAAAGACAGGGATTGATAAAATATATAGAATATAGGTTCAACGTTTTTTCTTTTTTTTTTCTTTCTTCTTTTTGCTTCCTACCGATTTGTATAATTTACAGATATCTTTTTTCTCGAACAGGCATCAACACGTACCATTACAAAGCCGATTTGGGCGATATGAGTTCACATCCGGAGGAGAAGTGTTTCTGTCCCACTCCAGAGTCTTGTTTAACGAAAAATCTCATGGATTTGACCAAGTGCGTAGGTGCTCCCCTTATAGCTTCTCTCCCACATTTACTTGGAGCGGAAGAAAAGTATCTGAAAATGGTTGATGGACTTCATCCGAACGAGGTGATTGCTTCGTTATTATTTTCGTTATTAATTTAATAAATATTCCATTCATTCTTTGTATTCTTTATTCAGTTACGTGCGTTATAAAGATATGATTTTTTTTTTTTAGGAAGAACACGGAATCGCCATGGACTTCGAACCAATGACAGCTACTCCTTTAAGCGCGCACAAGAGGCTACAATTTAATTTATATCTTCACAAAATTGAAAAGTTGAAATTAATGAAAAACTTTCCGGAATGTTTGTTCCCCGTATTTTGGGTCGAGGAAGGAATATTGCTCGGTGATGAATTCGTGAAGAAATTGAAGACTGTGTTCAAGACAATAAGTATAGTCGGGTAACCAGCTTCTTCCTTTTTATTCTATCATTTTATTTTATAATAATAATATCTTGTCGTATATGTAATCTTAAATTATAATCTCGAAATCTTTATATTTATTATAGATTTATGAAATGGTTCACAATAATAAGTGGTACTTGCATCAGTGGAGCAGCTGCCGCGTTATTCTTTAAGAATAAGGACAAAAATAAACTCGACATAACAAAGGTAACACCGCAAAAAGGTGAGGAGAAGAAATGGCCTAACCAGTTGACTATTAGTACGATACAAAGTGCAGCAGTGCCGCCTAATCTCGACGCGAATTAAATGTTTCGTTGATTTAATATATTTTGTTTCTACATATTTGTCGAAAGTAAGAACAATTTGAAGAAGAATGAAGACTTGTGTTTTATAAGTATAAGTGAATCATTTTTAAACGGATCATTATTGAATTGTAACGCCTCAAAATATTTGCATATAGTGTAATAATAATTATGGATCATAGTGTATATTTAGAAGAATTGATTTAACAGTTATTAGATCATTCTGGCTGATATGAGTCACTTAAAAAGTGATAGGTGCACTTATAATACATATTTCGTGCAAATATTTCGATCTATTTTAAAGAAGTTGGAGAGAAATTGAAAAAGAAAGAGAATAAAGGGAGAAAGGAAGAAAAGGGAGTTCATTTATAATATACTTTAAATTTGCCCAATTGAATTTATTATATCGAATATTGAAATAAAATTTAAATCGTTAAATAATAAGATTATTTTTTTTTTTGCATATTGAATAATTTGAAATATAATAAATTTAATATAATTAAGCAAAATTGGTTAAATTAGCGTATTATTTTCTTTTTTTTTTTGTAAAAATCGATAAGAATTTAAATTCAATTGTGCAATAATAATAAAAATTAATTTCCATTTTTTCAATTATTTTTTTTATAACATAATTTTTTATTATACTTAGTAGATATATTACATTACTTAATTTAACTGTAGTCTTTTGTGTGTATTATTATTTAAATTTGATAAAATAATGTAAAGTAATGTAAATGTAAACAGTGTACCTATTGTTTTATTATTAATAAATATTTTTAATAAAGAAGATGAAAGATCTCTTATAGTTTATGAACCGTAAATTTTAATTTTTATTATATTTTTAATAGGTACGTTGTATATTTTTAAATATTTTTTTATTATTTGTTCTCGAATGTTATTGATACTGTATATGTATTGGTATATGTGTATTGTATTGGTACTGTATATGTAATTAAAATGTACATTAAATCGTAAGAATGAATAAACAATATTTTTTTCTAACGAAATACTTTTTTTATTTATTACCTATTGTTACCTAATATTAATATTAATAAATTATTTATTAAATATTAATTCGAAATTGTAAAAGGTTTAAATTTTAATTTAAATAATGATTTTTTAATATATTTTTATTAATGAAATATTATAGAATTAATTTTTCCTATTTAATATAAAAATTGTGGATAAAAAAGAAAATTATAAAACTTACAAATTATAATTATTTATGTAATATTTCGAACAGGAACGTACTCAAATATCCTTCATCTCGGTGATTTTTTAGTTGCATGATTGGTTCCAAATTCATTTTTACAAAGCAACACATTTTTATAGGCGCTCCTATACTCTGAACTCATCACGACATAAACTATAGGATTTATACAAGTGGTCAAATAGATCAAGATATAACCCGCGATGTTCAATCCTCTCCAATCAATAGAATTCTTAAAAATCTTTGTAACGGTGATAGGTAAATAACAAATGAGAAACGACGAGAATATCACTAAAATCATCTTCAACAACTTCTTGTCTTTATTGCTCATCCTTGGTGGTCCATCAGGATTCCTAAATTTTCTGACACTCTTAAATCTCGATTCTCTGCGAATAATTATAGGTTTCTTCTTCGTCGATCGATCAGGTGTATTTGAATTCGAGTCATCGTATTGATCACTGCCTGTGGATGTTCTGGAATTAAATCTTTGCATCCAAAGAGCCGATTCTATGAGGAACGAAGCTCTGGAACTGGTCGTTCTATCTACTTTATTTCCACTATTCGTCGGATTTTTCTCTGTCGATTCTTTGATCTTGGTACAGTCGTTTGAAAAAACTGTTTCCATTGCTTCGAGATCGTCCACATATGGTATATCGTCTATTTTTATTATCAGACCAGGTCTCGATTTATCACAAATTTCCACGATTGTTTTAATTGATGCATCGTTATCAGATTGGTTAATTTGCTCTTTGCTATTTTTCTTCCATCTCTCTGCTTCCATCATCTCTTGTACATTCTCTTCATCGTATCCTGAGATTTCTACTTTCTCCACCCTACACGAGTTTTGTTCCCATGATGGTTGTTCCGATAAGGATTCTTCCTCGATCGCCGATCTTGAAGGAGTGCGCGAATAGTTCAGTTGATTAAACGAAGTTACAGTGCATTTTGAAGAAAAGTTTGGGCATAAAACATTCGTTGTACAATTCGAGCTTAAAATTGACAGTTCTTCCTCTTGGTTCCTGGTTGATGTAGATCGTCTCTATAATGAAATGAATCGCAAAATATCATTCGAAGAAAGACAGAGGAAAAATAAAAATGATCGATTTCTAACGTTTTACAATTTCTTGTTTATCGTGATATACGGATATATTATTTAAAATACTATGCAATTATATTATATACAGATATATAACAGTTATAAAATTTAAATTGGAAAACAAAATATTTAAAATGTACGTGAATCGTTTAAGAAACACATTATAAGCTGAGAATATATGTAATAATACTTATATTTTATACATTAAAGATCTAATTGTATCATGACTGTGAAAGAGAAATGATAAAAATATGTTTGATTGATATTCGGTGATTTCGACTTTCTGCTTTATAACTTATAAGCGCCAAGTAAGATAGACAAGGAAAGCAGATAATTAGAGAAGGACAGAGATAGAGTAAAACTACTGCCATCAGCGCCATCTTCAGAGTGCCGCAAATGAAACACAAAAAGAAAGGACAGAAAATAGAGTGAGAGAGATAGAAATAGGTAAGAATTGATTACTGCTGCCATCTTTGAAGTACCAACGATACTTCTTTAACGTTGTCTTTTTGAAGTTCTTCAAGAGATGGCACTTCTCCTTAATTCTTACTCTACCATACCTTTGAAAGATGTTCGGAAATTATTCAAGATATAGCACTGCAAGTTAATTCTTTAATTCTACTTTATCTTCCTTTTAAAGAATATCTTTGCTATTCCAAAGATAGCGCTAGCAAATAATTCTTACCTATATCTATCTTTCTCACGCTATTTTCTGTCCTTTCTTTTTGTGTTTCATTTGCGGCACTCTGAAGATGGCACTGATGGCAGTAGTTTTATTCTATCTCTGTCCTTCTCTTACCGTTAGCTTTCTTTGTCTTACTCATTACTATATGACTACGAAATTTAAACACTT